CACGGTGCTCAGTTCAGCCCAATGTCCACAGCCCACAGCCCAAGCCTGGGCTGGGGGCTGGAAAGGCAGCCATGGGGCAGAGGCACAGAGAAGTTGATCAACTGGCCCTGGCTCACACAGCCTCAAGGAGCTCACAGTGTGAGGAAAAGGGCCGGCTCTGAAACAGGCGAGGCGTGTGGGAGCTGGAGCAGGAGCCATCCAGCTGGGCTGAGGACGTGGGAGAAGACAGGGAGAAGCTGGTAACGGGCAGGGAGGGAGGGTGTTCCAGGCCGAGGGAACTGCGTGAACACAGGCCTGGAGGAGTGAACGCGTGTTTGGAGTTGAGGGGATGGGCCGTGATGCAGCCCAGAGAGATGTTATGTGGGAGGGCGATGGAGCAGAATGTTGCCCTAAGTTGGAAGATGGAAAGTAGAGGAAGCGGGGGGGAGGGGGGGGGCAAGCCAGGAGGGCTTCTTGGAGGAGGAGGATCTTGAAGGAAGAATGTCAAATTAGTAGGAAGGTGGGTTTGTGGGTGAGAAAAAAGCTGGATTCAAGTCCTGGTTCACCACATTCCAGCCACGTGACCTTAGGCAAGTAGCTTAACTTCTCTGAGACTCATTTCTGTCATCTGTCAAGTGGCACAATGAACCTAACCCACCTCACGGTGCTGTTTTTAAGAATTCCTCCATGTAATGTTTGTAAAATATGCTTTGCCTTTTAAAGCGTCCCACAGATGTCAATGCTGTAAGGGAGACATGGAAGGCAAGGGGAGGGGCCTGTCACATGGGCGAGTGCGGCCAGAGCCCCGGGGCAAGAGGGCAGGTGACTTATCCTGAGGCGATTGATTAGAATCTAGGCCCTAGATAGTCCGGCTGGAGGAGAGTAGAATAAATCATGTTGAGCCCACTCGGGAAGGCCTTGAACACCAGGGTACAAAACCCGAACTTGACTCTCTAGGCAGCGGGGAGGCCACCCACTGCCCCACCAACAAGCAGCTCCAGAGCCGCCAGATATCCCCTGGGGGACAAAATCACCCTGGCTGAGAACCACTGCTTTAAAGGAAAGTAACTTACCTGACTGTACTCTTGCTGAGTTATTAATACAACGCCGAGAAAAAATTGCATTCTTCAAGGCCGAGTAAAAATTCAATGGGCTCCAAACCAGTGCATGAGTTTCGGGTGGGTTGCAGAAGGCGCAGGACTGTGTTTCACAGCCGTGACACGCCTAGTTCTCTAACTCATAAATCAAAAAAGAAAAAAATCCCTGTATGCCAGGATCCCAATAATTAAATTATTCACATGAAAAACAACTCAATGTGCAAAATAATCTTTCACCAGGAACCTTTTAGTCCTGTCTCAGGTGACGAGAATCTTCCCCAAACTGCCTGATCTTGCGCAGGGCGGGCACAGAAACCTTGAGACGATCAGAGGCGCCCAGAGCAGCGCGGGCGTGAGGAGCATGGCTGTTCTTCAGCGGACGTGACCGGGGGAGCAAGGCGGGGCACTCCGTGTACATCAGTTCATAGAATTCCCACCAAAACCCCGCAGGACAGTTGTGTTGTCTGTGTCAGCTCACACACGACTAGAAGCGCAGGCTCAGAGTGGTCAAGCAGTTTGGCCAAGGCCACACAGCTGGTGAGTTGTGCGCTGGAATGGATACTTTGGGTTTTTCCAACCCTGCTTTTCAAGGCTGTGTTACTGTCCCCTTCAGCCCACCCATTTTACAGGTGGGAAAACTGAGGCCACCTAAGGAAGCAGAACATAGATGTCAATAATAATTCACTTTTCCTTAGCACTTTACAGGTTCTGAGTCACTTACATATCAAAGACCCTAACAGTCTATGAGGGCTGGTGCTGCTGGCCACATTGTGCAGACATAGAAACGGAGCGTGGCCAGAAAGGAAGGCCACAAGGCACAGTGTTCTCTGGGAAACCAGGCAAGGGTGAGTCATGAGCAGAACTCACATTCGCTGGGCAAACGTTATTGGAGGCCTCCACAGTGCCAGCACTGCTCCTCTGGAGCCAGAACTTAGACATGTGGCTGCACCTAGCTGCAAGAGAAGCTGGGAAATATGGTCTTCGTTTGGGGTGGCCATGTCCCAGCTACAGTCAGGCATTCTGTTACTTTGAATATAAAGAGAAACTGGACAATGAGGGAAGAGGGGAAGCGGCTGGCAGTCTCTGGCACTCTAGAGGCTACAACAGGACTGAGCAGGCAAGAAACACAAGGTCCCCCGTGGGCTGGAATTATTAAAATATAATAGATCCAATATGCAGTCTTCTAGGACTGGCTTCTTTCACTTAGGATAATGTTTTCTTTTTTATTTTAAGAGACAAGGTCTCACTCTCACTCAGGCTGGAGTGCAGTGGCACAACCATAGCTCACAGCATACTCTGGGGCTCAAGCGATCCTCCCATCTCAGCCTCTCAAGTAGCTGGGACAAAGGCGGCGCGCACCACTGCATCTGGCTAATTTTTTTAAACTTTTGGTAGAGACAGGATCTTGCTATGTTGCCCAGGCTGGTCTCCAACTCCTGGCTTCAAGCGATCCTCCCACCTTGGCCTCCCTAAGTGCTGGGATGATAGGCTTATAGGCGTGAACCACCTCGCCCAGCCTAGGATAATGTTTTCAAGGTTCATCCACATCATGGAGTGTATCAGTGGTTTGTTCCTTTTTATTACCAAATGGTATTCCATTGTATGGGTGTACCACATTTTGTCTATCCAGTCACCAGTCGATGAACATTTGGGGCTGTTTCTACTTTTTGGCTATTATGAATAATGTTGTTATCAACATTTGTGTACAGGCTTTGTGTGGAAATACGTCTTTGTTTCTGTCTGGTATATTACTAGGAGTGGAACTTTTGGGTCATATGGCAAGATAAGTAATATTTTAATGCGATATTTTAAGAAATAAAAATCAATGCAAAAAAGCTATGATGAACAAAGTATCAACATTTTAAATAAAGACACACTGTTGAATGTTTTATGATCCTGCACTTTTGTGCAACAGGAAGAGTCATTTCCCATCGGCCTGTGGTTTCCAGGCCCACGTGAGCTTCACGAGGGCTGACGATGGTGTGCGAACAGATTGGCAACAGGATTTTACATGCAGTCGTGTTTTTGGAGTGTAGAGCATTCATTAACTTTTTCCACTTGGTTCACAATATGAGAAGATATTTTGATAAATATGTGTAAGAACACACATTTTTCCTTTTGCCCCTGGCCTTAATATGGCGCTGACCACCCACGTCATTTCATTTAATCCTCGAACATCCTCAGGCACCTCATTCTCCATCCTCTCTGCCAAGGTTGGAGGAGGGAAAGAACTTCCCACGGTCCACAGCTAGTGAATGGCAGAGGTGGGATTTGAACCCCAATCTGAGAGGGGAGGCCCAGCCTTCACACTGTACCTCTCAGGAATTCAGAATGGGAGTGGCCAAGGAAGAGGCACTTAAGCTCTCTGAAGTCTTTTCTTCTGTAAGGTGAGCAACCCCATTGTTAGGAGGAACAGATGAGAACGTGCATTGAAATTTGCTTTCCTGCCCTGGAAGTGCTGGCCCTCTGCCGCATCTCAAGCCTGGGATGAAAATCGCCGAGTGAAACATCCCCACATGTGCTGTAGGAACTTGCCAACCATGTCTCTTCATGTCCCCCAAAGGAAGCCACATGTGAAAAATTTATTTTAAAGCTAAGGATTAGAAAATTAATTTGGTTCCCCCCCAAGAAACAGGTATATTTTCTTCTTATGAACAATGAGAAGAATGTAAGTGGTTGCATTTTCCTCTCCACTTTGGCCACCAGGAAACTCAAAGCAAAATTCATGGCTGTAAAGGATCAGTTGTGTAGGTTCTTGCTTATTTGTATTTTTCTTTTTCCCATAGTACAGTTCCTCTTGTAATTTATATTGGTCCTGGTGTTTTTCAAAATTTTATTTAGATTTTACTATTTTATCGGGTATATTTCTCTATAGTCACCTAAGTCCTTTGTAAACAGGTCAAGTTGAAAGAACTGTAAATTGCCTGGCATGTGTTTGGGCTGATTATTAGTCTCACCCAAAACACAAAGGGCAGCAGCTCCGAAATAGGGCCACACCCAGGCCTGGTAACCCCCAGCTGAGTCTCAGGCCCAACAAGCACCTCCTGGGTGCCAGAGCCCCGGACTCGCTCTGGTTAGAGGAAGTGAGAAGGTGGGTTTGGGGACCTGGCATGGCTCTCCCCACAGTGCAGAGCTGCTTGCCAAGCTTCCTTTCTCCAACGCACTCGCAGAGCCCTGCCAGGAGGCCTCTGTCCCTGCCGGGCTTCTTCCCCTACAGGTCTAGGCTTCGTGCTGCCCAACAGGCAGCCTTCGGAGTTGGGCCAGAGCAGAAGTAGGGAGGCATCCTGGGGGCCCACCTGCCACTCCCCGGCCCGCGCTGCTCCTTTGCAGGGTGCCCGCACCGGCCTTGCTCTTGCTGTCAAGATGCGCTGAGCCCTGGGAACACCTCCCTGAAAGGCAGTAGTGATGAATCGTTCCTTCCAGGGGTCTTTATGACTTAAAAGAAGCCCTTGGGAAAAGGCACTGTTAACACAGAAGAGGGCAGATCGAATGGTGGCATTTCGGGCCTTGTAGTATCTAAGTGAGGGAGAGGGTTTCTGTTTTGCAGGTGGCTGGGGACACGTGTGGTTAACGGGGACGTGGAACTTTCCCAGAAAACATGCATTTTGGGCAGACTGCCGCTTCTGGGTGGGTCCGTGAATAAGTGTGATGCAAACTTGACTGTCAAACAAGCAGCGAGGGGCAGTCGGGGTGGGGAGGACAAGAAAAAGGGAAGGGGTCGGGGTCTTGCTCACCTTCTCAGTTCCTTCTTGCTAAACCTGGCCTGTGTCTCAGGCCTCCCTCCCTTAGAGTCATGAGAGATCGGGAACGTTCCTTTTCCAGGGTGGCCACCTCCACCCAGCAAACCACTGCCCCTCGGCCTGGGCAGGGAACAACTCGCCGGGAGCTTCGCACTCACCGCCTTCTGCCTCCTTCTCCTCCCAGGGAAGCCCTATGGGGCCGACGACTTCCTGCCCGTGCTCATGTATGTTCTGGCCCGCAGCAACCTCACGGAGCTGCTCCTCAACGTGGAGTACATGATGGAGCTCATGGACCCCGCCCTGCAGCTGGGGGAGGGTGAGTCACCACCCCCGGCCATCTCCAGGCCACTCAGGCCCATTACACACGCCCAACTCAGCCACGCCAGGGGCACTCCGGGTGGCCCAACAAGCACCTCCTGGGTCCCAGTCGCTGCCGAGCTCTGGGTCCGTGCGGACGTGAATCCTACACAGGCCCTGTCCTGCAGAAGTGCACAGACTAGGAGGAGAAATAAGCCAGTAAAGAGATCGTGTCACCACTAAGTGACAAGTGCTAGAATGGCAGGAAGCCCAGAGAGTATGGGAGCATGTTACCCAGACGGTGCAGACAGGGAAGGCTTCCTGGAGGAGGTGACACCTGAGCTGAGCATTGAAGGATGAATAGGAGGCAGCCAATGAAGAAGGGGAAAAGGCAGTCTCCTCAGAGAAAACAGCAGGAGATGGTTGTGTAAAATATGAAGCTGACATGGGGGTTAGTGCCCACAGTTCTGAGACAGGGGTGGCCCGCTGGAACTCTTGGCCCCTTGTTCATCCAGCCCTGGGTCGGGACCTCTGTCCGTGGACAAGGTTAATGCCGTGGGTAAGAGGCCCTGTGCTCCCCAGTAGGATGAAGGCAGAGGTATGGTTTGTTCCACCCCACACTCAGTTTCCCTTCCCCTTTCCTCCTTCCCACCACATCCTCCCACCCTTTCACCAAGAATTTCTTGAGGGGCCGCCAGCACAGATAACAGCTCTGACTTGTCCTCTGAGACATCAGCCTCAAAGGATGGAGTGAGAACCCCAGGCCCTCAGTGTCTCCCTTGGGCTTTGTGGTTCCTGAGATGAGCTGACCTTTTTTGCATGTGTTTGCATTCTTTGCATGTTCCATTCTCTGGGGTGATGGCTTGATGTCAGAGTTCTGTGATTTCTTGACTGCTCGGGGGAGCATATTAAAACCATGAAGTTTGCTATCGTATATAACTTTGGCTTGTGGCTCTGGGGCTTCCAGAGTTTCTGTTTTTGTTTTTATCCTCTTTATAGTTAAAAATTTCCTGTAGTTGGAACAACTTTTCTTCCCAGAGGTCCAGGAATTCTGGAGAGCTTTCTTCAGCAATGATTATCTGCTGCCCAGTGCATCCATCCATCCACCCATCCACCCATCCATCCACTCATCCAGCTATCC